GGGTAATAATATTAATAGTACTAATAATAATAATAATAATAAAGAGCTCAGAATGATGTTCCCCTCCCCCACCACATACACGCACGCATTTAGATGATGATGGGGTTGAGATACCCAACAACGCTAAAATGTACGGGGGTTGGGCCGCTAAGACCGATGGAGCGCTCCTTTTTCAGGTTTGAGGGCGGAAGCACCACGATTGGGCGTGTTAGGAAGGGTTTGCAATTTCAAAAAAGCGCCCTATTGAGGAATTTCAAAAAGAAAAGCGGTCTCTTTTCCATTTTATTTTATTTATTTTTTATTATTAATCACCGTAAAGGTCAAACTCGAATCAACCCGCGGCGTCTGTTTAGGGTATTATTTAACACGTTTAGCTCGATTATTCATCCCTGTGAGGGTTTAGGGTGGGGTCTGCGCGGCCGGAATCGCGGCTCGCCCCCGGGTCATTAAATGTTGTCGGGTGTACTCATACATCACGATCGCGCCGGTGACGTGGACGTTTAAAGAGCGAATCACCCCGTATTGCGGGACCTCCACACAAACATCCAACAAGGGCAGAATCGCGGCCGGGATGCCGTGGCCTTCCGAGCCCAACACCACCACCGCACGGGGCGGAAACGCGTATTCCGCGATGGAGACGCTGGCGGAGGTTTGCTCGATCCCGATCACGGCGTAGCCCTGGGTTTGCATCACGCGGAGGTAGCTTGGGAGGTCCCGCGGGGGGACTTCTTGCCAGGGAATCCACAACTCCGCACTTCGCGCGGTCGCCAAGAAGTGGGGATGCGTGAAAACCGCTCGCTCTGGCAGGACCACCTGCCCGACCGCGAAGATCTCCCCGGTACGGCACAACCCGGCGAGGTTGACGGGGTTCTCGAGAAGACTGCCCACGACGACGAGGGATTGGCGGGAATACTCGCCCGGCGCGGCGCGGGGGTGGAATTGGTCGTAGATCGCGCCATCCCACCAGGCGGGGGCTTTTTTCTGAATCGCCTCCGCCGCGGCCGAGTTCGCGGGGTCGCCGGGGGCGGAAAGTCCCTCCCCCCCCCCCTCCGGCCGCC